TATGTGTGTGTAATATTTTTGTGTGTATATATATATGTAGATATATATATATATATAGATATATATATATATATATATATATATATATATATATATGCATGGATATAGTTTTATTTAACGAATACAGAATACAATATATGTGATGAAAAATAAATCCATGTCACATAGTAGAGAAAATGAATAAGCGAGTAAACGACTGGGAGTGAAAATGAAAAGTAAAATGAAAGTGAGAAAGTGAGTGAATGAGAGAGTGAGTGAATGTGTGAGTGAATGAGAGAGAGAGTGAATGAATGTGTGAGTGAATGCGTGAGTGAATGAGTGAGTGAATGTGTGAATGAATGAGTGAGAGAGTGAGTGAATGTGTGAGTGAATGAGTGAGTGAAAGAGTGAGCGAAAGAGTGAGTGAGTGTCGTTGTACTACACCCCACAAGAGTGCACCAAACACAACACAAACAAGTTTAATGTAATGCGAGATAGTTAATCGCTGATAAAGAACCTATCTGGAGCTAGGCTGGAGCAGCAACTAAACAATTGACGCACTTGTGGCCATGATGACAACGACGATGATGACGACGATGATAATGATGACGAAAAAGATGATGATAATGATAATAATGATGAAAAAGATGATGATGACGAAGACGAAACAGAAAGATGACGGTACAGATGTTAAGGATTATCATTATACATATATGTGATATATAAAATAATAATGGATTAGTTATGGCGCCATAAATTATGACGAAAGTAATTATAATAATAAACATAATTATCTTCGTCATATTTTAATAATTGATTTAATTATTTGGACGCTATTTTCAAGCCATCATTTGATAAATTTAAGAAAAGTGACTCAACTGAACTCTTCTGAAACAGAAAAAAAACCAGTCAATGTGTGTGTGTCTATTTGATTGTGTATGTGTATGTTTGTGTCCGTCCGTTTGTGTGTGTGTCTGTCTGTTTGTTTGTGTGCGTGTGTATGTGTGTGTCCGTCCGTTTGTGCGTCATCATAAAAAAATAAACCAATTAAATCCTTAATAAAATAAGATATGAGCAAGAAATGTGTGATAATCATAAAATGTAACGTCAAATTATAACATATACAACGTAACATCAATCACATATCACA